CAAAATCACTTTCGAGACTACCCACAAAATCTTCATCACCTCCTCTATAAAGCCCAAGCCTCCATTTGCCGTCATCACCACCTTCATTCACACGATCGACATTCAAGCTAGATTTTTGGTCGTTTTCGGTGTCGAAAATCATCGTGAAACTCACTGCCTCCTCCGTCCTCTTCCCCGAGCCTTTCTCACCCTTAATTCGTTCACCCCGAGCCCGGTGCACTTGCTAATCGTCGGAAATTGCCGCTTGAGTTTTTGCACGATTCTTCATATTTCTGGACTTTTTTCGACCGATTCAGTCACTCAAAATGCTTCCTACCACCACCGTTCGACTCCCCACCCTTGCTCGTCAAAACACACCCCTCCCCCAACCCTCCATGCTCGCCATTTTTCACCTGTGTCCAACTCTTTCCACTGTACGACAGTCGTGATTTGCAGCGGTTTCCTCCATAAATCGTTGGTGTTTTTTATGCTCAATCAGTGGCTTTTGATTGGTTGTCTTTGTGTTGTGTTTTTTTCGGCCACCGTTTTCTCCCAGATCTGTTAGAGTAGGTGCCATAGAGCCAATCAATTATTGTAAAATTGACTCTGTAATAAATGTTTATTTATCAATAAAAGACATATTCTTCTATATCATGTATGTAAAATTGACTCTGTAATAAATGTTTATTTATCAATAAAAGACACATTCTTCTATATCGTGTATGTAATGATATATGTCTTTAGGATGGTAGAACCGTGACGAGTGTATCAAGTGTTTCAAATCTTGATAGTGAAAACCCTATGATCACATATGATGGTCATTCTAGAAACGTCCATAGCCTCAGTATTATTCTAACCAAGGACACATATAATACGGTAAGACTGTCATAATGTTGAACGACCTTGTCGAAAGGCAGTGACTGATTTTACTTGTCAAGGTTGTTTGCCGACAACCTGGTGCAACGCATGGGTGCTTGCTGGAGGCAAGTTCACTGGACAGACCCACTAGAGGATTCCATATGGATGGTAACCCCAATGTCTATAGAATAAATCATCTAACAGATGGTGGTGCATGTGATCCTTAGACTTGAGATCACCGGAGCACCTTGTGCACCAATTGGTGTAGTTTGACACTAGTCCAACGTAGTTCTATTCAAAGCTATCAATATGGTAGTGATTAGCTACATTAAGAAGTGTATCAAGACTATAGTGGATCGACAAAGGATTTATCACTCTTGAGTACGGGAGAAGTTATCTCACTGGGTAATTTAGTAAATGACAATGACACTAAATCTGTGACCATAGTGGGATTGAGTTGATGCTCAATCCAATTTAATATTCCTATCATTGGTCTAGTAACTGAATACAAACATGTCGAGGATATCTAAGGTTGATACTATTTCTGTACCTCAGTCTCGATGAGATAACAGTTGATGAAAAGATTTTATTGCAGAGTAACCAAACCGTTGATAGGCTCCAGTTTCGCTGAATCCGAATCTATCGGGTGGCCATGATGTCTTGCTAGGGGTCAATCTTGGTCTATGTATAATGAGACGATTAATTGGTGTTAATCGCGATACTACACATTGCTGATATGATGAGGAGCCTTCGGGTCACACACTTAGAAGATAATTTAAGAATCAATTTGTGAGAAATGTATTTTCGTCTTTTAGGACGAAAGGGTGTTTTGGTAATTTCACAGTGCAATTAAATTTGCTAAGGTTATTGCTTGTATTTAATTTTAATATTAAAATTAAATTAGTGAGATTATATTTAAATATATCTCTATATATATTTAAATGAATTATTATTTTTAATTAAATATTAATATATTATTATATATTAATTGATTTTAATTATAATATTAATTAATTAATTAAAATACCATAAAAAGGGTGTGTTTGGTTGCAAGGGTAAACTAAGGTTGGAGCCCATGATTATTCCTAAGTGGAATAGGGTTTTAATTGTTGCACAAGTGTAACTTAAAATTAAAACATAAGAGAATTATTCATTCAATTAAAACTCTAGCCACCCTATCTCTCTCTCTCTCTCAAGAAGAAAACTTTTATTGTTCTTCTTTCTTGATTCTTGAAGCCCTTGGTTGTTCTAGCAAAATAATCAAGGGTTTTGTGGATTATCTTCGTATGGACTTCCGTGAGTGCAATCCTACTTTGGATCGATTGGCGAAAATCACGTGAATAGTAGATGGTGAATAATAACCGTGAGTAGTGTTCCTGTCCGAAATCAGAGATATTCGAAGGAGCCTCCAAACGTACGTAAGTATTCTAATCCTTGAATGGATTTACTTTATACATATTTTTTTTTTTATAAATATGTAAACGGTATAATCTATACTCGGATCTAGACAAAGAAAAGTAATTGATTTACCAATTGAATTTTTATTTTTTGCTGCATATGGTAGATTAATTACTTACAAGATCATCCAACCTCAGTGCCCCAGCCTCGCTCACGACCTGTTTGATTTATTGTCGCACCCAGCTCCTAGCCGGCTAAGGGTATTTTTGTAAATTAATGTATTTCCCACCCCAAACTTAATATTTGGGTACTAAAAGGGTATTTAAAAAGTAGGTGGGTATGAATTTGTCAATGGGCCATTTTTTGTGTGGGAACATGTCGTTAACCCTTTTGTATTTTCTCATCTCCTATTCCATAAAGTTACTTATACTAAATTAATATAACATGTTTGGTTAGACTTATTTATTGACCAAAAGTGCTTATTTAATTTAAAGTTATAAATATTTTTGTAATTTTTTTAGGTTATTTGATTGTATTTCAAAAGTACTTATACAATTTTAAATAAGTTATTTTTGGGTTGTGAGAAAAGCGCTAAGTTTTGAACTTTTCCCCGTGAGCTCTTTTTGGGCTTAATAAAAATATTGAAATTTAAAAATATTTCTATTCAATTTTATAAATTTCTCTTGATCTATTCTTATATATTGAAACATTTTTTGATAAATTAATATTAAAAAGTCATTTTACATTTTTTTAATCAAACAACTAACATTTTTTTCATAACAGCCCCATTCTAATAAGTTTTTCAATAAACTCGTTTTTTTTTATAAACTTTGCTCGAAGAAACTGACCAAACAAAACTCTGAGAACTTTTTTGGACTGTGTGTAAGTAATGGCTAGTCTTGGACCTCTTATGGCGCTAGTTGGAATAGGCCCACCTACGATAGACCCAATCTGTCAGATGGTTTTCACCCACACAGAGAGAGTACGTCTAACTTGTTTAACAAATCAAGGTCCAGCCTCCAGGATAGTCCATTTGTATCATTCTCAGTTACTGCACATAATTTAAGCTGATTGATGGATAATTTATGCAATAATTGTGTTAAAGATGATACGTCTTTGCCATTTCTTAATGTAAGAATGGTAAGTGTTGCTGGGTTGCCATTTCTTAAGGATTCACTGAAAAACTGCAACTTGGTTCAGAATTTGACAATTAATTTTGTAATTTTATTTGCTTTGAACCACTTCATTGGAATAAAGACATCTATCAGGACTAGTCTTTGGACTTTACCAGGCCTAAGGGAGGAGGGACCGGGCCTAGGCCAGTCCAGTCCCAGGCCTGATCCCGGTTAATTTCAAAACCCTCCTCACTCAATTATGAAAAACCCTTGATAAACATCTAAAAATACATAATAAATTTAGGGGCTAAAATGTAATTTTGCAAAAAAAATAAAAATTGACCATTAATACTAAATGTATACTACATAAAATTTTCCTAATTTGTGAGAGGTCAACTATACTTATAATATTGAGCTTTTAATTTTAGAGTACATTAATTTTAGACAAAGGCTTGTAAATATTCAACATAAAAAAGAACATAATATTATTGTAATAAATAAACCATTTAATTTATAAGGTTAATTTAATTTACTCTTAACAGATCTCAGAACCTGAACACCTATTGGAAAGTATTAAATATTCCCTAAAAGACCTAAAACCCAATTTTAAATATAAAAAATACCCCTTAAAAAAATATCGCAAACGCTTACAAATATTAAGAAACCCTTAAGCAAAATTATATAATAGTTTCCAAAAATTATTGGACATTTGAGATTTAGCTATATTTTGGGAAACATATAAAATTAATTTTAATTAATTTAAAGGTAAGACTTCTATCAAATAATTTCCTGTGAGATTTTATGAATATCCATTGAGGAAATAAGGTCATATATAATTGGAAGTAAATAGAAACATATTTCAATAATAAACAATCAAATCCTAATTAATTTAGTATTAATGGTCAAAGAAAGCATAAGTTAGGAATTTTTTTTTTTACAAATCACTCCCGATAAATTACATAAATATCTATTTAGCCCCAAATATATAAAAATTAGGAAGCTAAATTAATATTCTCAGGCCCATAGGACCGGTCTGGGCCCTAACAAAACTCATGGGCCGAGGACCGGTCCTTGAGGATTTGGGCCCGGTCCCTCATTATAACCGTTCCTTGAGATTTGGGAACCGTCCTTGAGGGCCCTGGCCCAGGCCCGGGACGGCCTGGCCCGCGCCTTGCCCACCTCTAGACTCTTAACATGTTTAACAGATCAAGGTCCAGCCTCCAAGCTAGTCCATTTGTATCATTTTCAGTTACTGCACATAATTTAAGCTGATTGATGGATAGTTTATGCAATAATTGTATTAAAGATATACGTCTTTGCCATTTTTTAATGTAATTTTATTTGCTTTGTGCCACATTATTTGGAATAAAACATCCATGTTTGTTTTGTCTAGCTTTATAGCAAGTAGTTATCATTTTAATTTTTGACACTTTGGGCGTTTTCATTTGAGATAGCTTGTAGTGGGATAAATAGAATATAAATTAATAATTTAATTGTATAAAGAGAGTGGAATCTCTTAAAATTTTAATGGTCTGTTAAGTTTGAAGCCTCCAATATTAGCCTGTTAATTAAATTAATGTATATATATGTGCTCATAATAATTAAGTCTCCATTAGCTTAAGTCACTGCCTTCACAAGAAATGCTTCTGATTTATGAGCAACACTTTCACATTTTTGCTTTAATAAACACGATAACACACTGGACTTACAGAAAAAGCTAGCAGATGGTTACATAGAAGAAGAAAACCTAATAACTTTGAGAATTTAAGGAGCATTTTTGACAACTATAAATAGCTTAGACATGAGTAGGTGAATTCTCAGAAGGTGGCATGGTTGAAGAGTTCACTTTTGATCTTCCCCTTTCACTTCTGCTATTATCAGCAAATTTCAAGCTTGATTGATGTAAACCCTTCTCCTTTTCTTTTGAATCCCATTCAGACAAATAATAGTCTTCTTCTGTAGCAATCTTATTTTCAGATGTACCACAGAACATTCCACCCCATTGTGGGAAGTATATTAACATTATTGGAAGAGTGCAGCATAGTATCATTACACCCATTAGAGTTATTCCTGTTTCTTTTGAGTATTTTGATCCTTTGAAGAATATTAGTTGTGTCAGAACTGCACCGACGTTGCCTCCCCCTCCTGTCATCCCAGATATTACCCCCAATGACCTGAAACATGAAACACATGGTGAAGATCCGGGATTAACTCAAAATGTGTTCGTGCATTATTTCAATCAAATGGTTATAAGCTTTTGTGTGTTTGTGAATGTCCAAATTCAAATTTTTTTTACTGTTTTTACTTCTATAGTTGGTTGGTGATCCATCAATTCATGGTTAAGAAGAGGAGCCACATTCCTCTGCATCATTATTGCAGTAATAGTAATGTAAAATAGACAACTTTTGACATGTTTAGTAAAATCATCAGTTTTTCAACACAAAATTTTGACATTTTTAGTGAATCTTCGCCCGTCAATGGTGCCTATTGAAATTCTTGCTCCATTAAATATAACTGTGTGTCTCCAAAAAAGTTCCTTTTGGTTTTAATTTACTAAAGAATGGAAAACCTTTTAAGAACAAATAGAACTGTAGAATTTCTTACCTCCGGGAGACGAAAGGAACAACCCCAAATGTAAGCCCACATGCAGCTTGAACAAACACAGAGAAGATTATCATCACTATGATGGATGCAGTTAGTGATCCCATCTGTCCAAGAATTACACAGAACACACCTCCCAGTGTCTGCACCAACCATAATGCCCAAAGCCGACCTCTCATTCCAAACCTCTTTGCCATAATATCAGAAATCCATCCTCCAGCAGGTCGAGCAATGATGTTTGCTAATCCGAAACTTGCTGCAATAATTCCTGCAGTGTGAAGTTTCAGATTGAATCTGTCGTAGAAATACTCTGCAATAATGTTGTCCACTGTTAACTCTACTCCAAAACAATACCCATAAGTCAACGCCAAAATCCATCCTCTATAATTTGTAACCCCGTGATAGAACACCCGTGAGAACTCATCTTTCTGTTTCTCACCAGATTTCTGCAGCCTGGCAAAATTCCCGTCAGGCAAATCCTGGCCAAAGATCAAAATGGCAAATGCTGATAGAGTTTGAATTAAGGCAGGAATGAAAAAGGAAATTCTCCAAGCTGTAAATTTGATTGCACCAATGTCACGGATGATGGCAAACACAAGGGGCATGATGAGTTGCGTTGCACCGCCTCCAAGGTTTCCCCAGCCGGCTGCAACACCATTAGCTGTGCCGACTACTGGACTGGAAAACATAGAGCTCATCCAGAATTGAGTGGAGACAAAAGTGGAGAGAGAGAAGCCTGTGAAAAACCGTACGAGGAGGAAAGAGACAGGCGAAGAGGCAATGGAAGTGAAGTAAACGGCTGGAGCAGTGAGGAGGATAAGCGAAGCGGAAGCTAGACGAGGTCCAAATAGATCGCAAGCACTTCCCATGGCAATACGTGCAAAGACTGCACCAGAGACGGATGCAATCCCTGCATTGCCAATGTCAGTTGCTGTGAGATTAAGGTTGTCACGTATAATGGGAAGGAGCGGTGGAGCGGCAAAAGACGATAAAAAACAGGAAAAGAAAGAGAACCAAGACAGATGAAATGCCCTCATGTGTGGCGGGGCCATTGAGAATAGGCGTAACTCAGTGGCCTTGTGTTCTGAATCCACCGGAAGAGCAAATTCCTGAGGTTCAGATTCTCTCACAGTGCCCTGAACTTCCATATTTGTATATTTGGATTGATCAGATTGAACCAGAAAGATTCTTAAAGGGATAATAACTCGCTCTCACATTGTGCTAATGAGACTTAAGTGGTGGCATTGGCTGAACTTATATAGTGTTCAAGAAGATGTCTAGTGGTAATTTTTTTTTTGGGTGACTTAAATTGCCAGATGGTTTACTGAGTCTACAAAATAGCTGTTCTTGTCTTTTGAAGGTTGGTAGATTTGAAACTTTGTTTAAGGTTCTGGGACTTGGAGGATTGTGCTGAGGACTGATGGCTTTCTGTTGGGTGAAAAAGGCAGGTTAGGATGTCAAAACTCTTCACTCTCCGCCGAGTCTCATTGTTTATTTGTATCTTGATATGAAAAAAAGGTTAGAAAGTTTGGGATTCAAGACCTTGTGAGAGGTAGTGGTTGGCGGAAAGTGTGCTCCAAGTTTGATTTTTAATGGCGTGAGACATGAACTTGAAAGCTTTCTCTATCAGAAAGAGAAGTTTAAATTGGATAAGTTGTATTAAGCATTGACTTTAGAATTTGGCGAACAAGCCGGGCCAGTGGTGGTGTAATATCGATTCCTTGACTTGCCTGGGGATTCTGCTTTGAAGTTTCTTCTTGAAGCAAAAAGACTCCAGCGCCCTCATGATCTATTCTACACAAAAATGTCGACAAATCTTGAACTTTAACCCGTATAGACTATGGACTTCAGGCTGGTATTCTACTGTTGTCAATACTAATTTTAAGATCTCGAAATGAATGTAAAACAGGATTTTATATAATTTTGCTATAAGTTAAAAAATAAGACTTTGGGAATGAATGAAACTGTAAAGCCAGAGGCGTAACAACTAAGAAAACTATAAAAAGAGCGTTTGGTTCAGGGAATGTTGGATTACTAAAAAGTTAGATTACTTTGAATATTACTAGGAATCGTTAGGAAAATATGTTTGGTTAATTGGTGGATATGTTATATTAATATGTTTGGTTGAGAGAAATAAATTGGTGGATATGTTATTTAAATTACTGAATTGTCCTCTAATTAAATATTATTATTATATTATTTTTTAATATTGATTATTATTTGAATTATTATAACCCCCTGCATTTAAAAACTTAGCAAAAAGAACCCTATAATAAAAGTTTGAAAAATCAACAAAGCACTCTCACAACCCAGCCACTGCCGGCAACCACTGCAGGTCGTTGGCAGCTGGCAACTTAACAACGTACAGAAGGCAGGAAATGACCTCCGTGCGCCGTATGGCCATTTTTGGCCAGAGATCTGGCCGTTGATGGCCAGATCTAATCTAGCCATCAACGGCCAGATCGATGGATCTGGCCTTTGACGGCCAAATTAGATATGGCTGTCAATAGCCATATCGGCACACGACGACAATTTTCGGCCTTCCGTGCACCATTCCAGTGGCGGTGATAGTTGGCCGCGGCGGTGGTTTCTGGCGGCAAGTCGGTGGGGGTGGTGGCTTGGGTGGGCTACAATTTGTTTTGAATTTAAGGGTAATTTTGTCCAAAAAGTTAATTAATTGGGGTGAAATAGTAAAATCCATATTCATGTAAATAAATTTAAAAATAAGGGCATTATTGTGCTAAAATTTTATTAATAAGGAATAGAATTGTAACAAAAAAAGATAACTCAGGTAATCTTAGAATACCTAAGAAAATTGAGGTAATCAGATTACCTCCAATATTACCAATAATAACCACTATTGGTATTTGAAAATTATCGGTATCTTATATTACTTACAACCAAACATAGTAATCAAGTAATATAAAATAACTTAACCCTAGTAATCCCATATAACCTCCAACCAAACACCCCCAAAGAATTATTTGATCTGCAAGGGCCTCTTAATATTACAGTGGACGCGGGAAACTAAATGGGGCCTGTGGTTCAGGGTGAATCTGTGAATAAGGATAGGAAGGGTGCTTTAGTCTTTTACTACCATGACGTTGGGTGGGGGGAATATTCAACGATATTATAGAATCAATTTGATAATTCCAAGTATATTCAATGCCAATTTTGTAATATAATTTGGAAGTTGTGATTGCTGTTGAAGTCTTAAATATGGTCATGTCAATTCATGCTTCTTTTTTTATTATTGCAATGCAATGCACACTCGTTGCTGGAATGTAAGGCGACGGCAATCAATTGAATTTTACTATCACTTGTAGTATAATTAACCGTGGTTAGAAACACAACAAAGTAGAAGATTTCTTTATTCGATATTTGTAGACTGAGCTTCATCAGAGTTGAGTCCTTTTACTTTTCCTCTTTCTGCTCTGCAATTTTCAGCAAATTTCAAGCTTCCCTGATGCAAACCCTTCTCTCTCTCTTGTGAATTCCATTCAGACAAGTAGTAGTCTTCTTCGGAGGAAATGTTTTGAGAAGGACCACAGAACATTCCACCCCACTGGGGGAAGTAAATTAACATAATCGGAAGGGTGCAGCATATTATCATAATACCCATCAAAGTTATCCCTGTTTCTTTTGAGTATTTGGATCCTTTGAAGAATATCAGTTGAGTTAGAACTGCCCCCACATTTCCACCCCCTCCTGTCATACCCGAGATTACACCCAATGACCTGAACGAATTTGTAGATAACAGATGTATTTCCATCACTTAGCACTTAACAAATAAGTGTATACATATGGAGTAATTCGCTAATAAAGATATCTTTAAATTAGTTTTATAAACATCTTATTTAAATATCATTAAATTCATCATAAATTAACTGAAATGATAAGGGATAAAATATCGTATATGTAGACAGGATCATAGAAATTATTACTATTTTTTATCTTACCATCCATGGGAAGGTTCATTGGCTTCTTGAGTATACTTGATTTTTAACCGCATTCTCCTTTTATCTAGTTAATACTAAAAATGAAGAGTTTAATTTAATTTTCTCAACCTTTTTTTTCTTTTTTTTTTGGTAATCGAAGTGTTTGGACTAGTTTACACGTACTTTAATTAATCCTTAAGGTCTGTTAAACACCCAATTGAATTAAATTTTCTCAACTTCAGTATATGAATAATTGAAAATTTTAGTATTTGTATCTATATGTATCAGATGGTCGTTTTATTTGACATTTTAGCAGTCAAAATTTATTTTATTTGACTTGTTTCGACGTTGTTTTTGTTCCTCTTCGGCGACAAGTCATGACCATAAAGTAGGCAGTAAACAGTAACAATGGCGAGCTTTTGGTAAAATAAAATTAAAGAATAGGCAGAAATATTCATACCTTCGGGAGACGAAAGGGACCACTCCAAATGTAAGTCCACATGCAGTTTGGACAAACACAGAGAAGACAATCAACACTACAATGGACGCACTTAAAGAATCCACCCGTCCCAGAAGGATACAGAACAACCCGCCCAATGTCTGCACCACCCACAAAGCCCACAGCCTACCTCTCATCCCAAACCTCTTCGCCACTGCATCTGAAATTATTCCTCCTCCAGGTCGAGCGAACAAATTCGCCAATCCAGAACTTGCCGCAATTATACCTGCTGTGTGGAGTTTCAAATTGAACCTATCATAAAAATACTCTGCAATTATGTTGTCGATCGTTAGCTCTACTCCAAAACAATACCCGTAAGTCAACGCCAAGATCCACCCTCTGTAATTCGTAATCCCATGATAAAAGACCTTTGAGAATTTATCTTTCTCTTTATCTCCGGACTTCTGTAGCTTCTTGAAGTTCCCATCCGGCAAATCCTGGCCAAGGGTAAGAACTGCAAATGCGGATAGCATTTGAAACAGGGCAGGGATGAAAAACGCAATCCGCCAAGCTGTAAACTCGACTGCGCCACTGTTGACTATAAGAGCAAATACTAGTGGCATAATTAGCTGTGTTGCGCCGCCTCCAAGGTTGCCCCAACCGCCGGAAACGCCGTTTGCAGTGCCGACTACCGGAGCAGAAAACATGGAGCTCATCCAGAATTGAGTTGACACAAAAGTGGCTAGAGAGAAGCCTGTGAAGAAACGTACAAGAAGGAAGGAGATGGATGAAGAGGCAATAGAAGTGAAATAAACCGCAGGTGCAGTGAGGAGAATAAGGGAAGCGGAGGCAAGACGAGGTCCGAATAAATCGCAAGCAGTTCCCATGGCGAGACGGGCAAAGACCGCACCAGTGACAGATGCAATCCCAGCGTTGCCAATGTCAGTGGCCGTGAGGTTGAGATTGTCACGTATAATTGGAAGGAGTGGTGGAGCTGCAAAAGATGAGACGAAACAACAAAAGAAAGATATCCATGACAAATGAAATGCCCGCATGTGTGGTGCTGCCACTGAGAATAATCGGAATTCAGTGGCCTTGTGCTCGGAGTCCACCGGAAGAGCAAATTTTGGAGCCTGAGATTCTACTGCAGCACTTTCCACATCCATGTTTGTGACTGAATAATGTTCAAGGGTTAATGAAAAAATGGACTTACTTCTAGTAAAGGCTTGAGCTCAGGTCTAACTCAGGGATCTGGCCTGTAGCTTTATATGGAAAACTAGAAAATATCGGGGGTTGAAAGGAACAGTTAACTTTGAAGATTGGATTTTAGGGTATAGTGGTGAGGAGATGTTAATTAACAAGTTGTGGTAGGAATTGACTTTGGAGTGCTTGAATTGGCTAACAATCCCAAAACTGAGGGAAATGCTTATGTTAATTAACTTGGTGGGAGCCATTTCTGTCCTTATCCTTTTGAGTGTTGAATTTTCTAATCTTCTTTTCAACCAAAAAAAAAAAAAAAAAAAACTCTCTGCAATACAGCTGAAATACATAACTCATAAGTTACTTGTAAGTCACAAATTTTGATATTTTAATATTGTTTAATGAGCTAATTTTCTTTTCAACAATATAATAAAATCCTCAATGCAATGCAAAGTATATACATTTAGCTAATGATGAATAACTTGATATATTAATCTTACTGAATATGATAAACTTTTTTTTCAATAAAATATAACGAAAATATATTCATTCAGTCAATGATGAGTTACATATAAATTGTGTATAATGATATGACAATTTTTCATTAAACAAATATATACGTCATTGATATACTAATCTTATAAAATACGCTAAACTTTTTTTTTTCAATAAATATAGAACAAAAATACATATATTCAATCAATGATGAATTGCCTGTAAATCGTGTTTAATGGATATGTCAATCTTTTGTTAAACAAATATGTGCCGCTAATATATATAAAATCTTTTGAAAGTTGCGAAAACTTAAAAATTTACAAACAAATATCGTTGTTTGAATTAAGATCAAACGTGAAGACACATCTCACATTATTATATTGTTCTTTCTTTTACTAGTTTTGTGTTCATTTTGAAGCATACTGGCAAACAACAAAATAAAGTATTGCGCCCTAATTTGAAGGGATTTGCATGATTCTGAGGGTGCTCTTTGAATTCTCCTCTGAATTGTGCCTCTGCTCTCAAGTATGTAGAGTCAGCAGACTAGTAATATAAGAAATGTAGTTACCAAATTATGACGGTGCAGGTTTCAGTCCCTCCTGAAATATCATTAGACATGTGGGTTGGGTTCCATCCCACCAGGTTTTTTTGGCATAAGTTAAAAAAAAAAAAAAAAAAAAAAAATATATATATATATATATATTATGGATGACGTGCGCGCTGTCATGTTTTTCTCATAATCAATTGGACAGATATCCGGTTCACAATTCTTGTTAATATATTGACAATCAAATCAAATCAAATCTTTTTCCAATATGTCTTGCTAACATTTCTTGTAGACTTGGAATTGTATAGTCAAAATTCCTTCTAAATTATTGACAGTCAATTTCTGATTTAGTTATAAATGCTTCTACATTTGTTGTTTTCTCAAATACTATTCAACCAATTGCCTCACTTTTCAGTTTCTTAAATCTACTCCACAATATGGGATGAAACTCATTATACAACTTCTTCTATCTGCACCCAACAAAATATGATTAGGAATACTAAGTTGATAAATCTTTTTCATTAATTTTCTTCTCTAAACGTAATATAATAGTTTATAATGAGTTTCGTCTGTGTAACAATAAGTCTTATTTGACCGATTACGAATTACCATATTGCCTTTACCAAAAAAAAAAAAAAAAAAGTTTGTAAAAAATGATTGAGAGATAAAACTTATTCACAATCTAAAATAAACTAATAAATTGTTGACTCAATGTCCCTTGGGGCTTGTGAACATAGTTTTACAGTGGACCACCAGTGGCCGACATTCAGGAAAAGTCAAATATGGATTCTTATTGGGCGGCGAATTTGAATCCTTGGGCAAGATTCTTAGAATAACCAAGTCGTTTTTGAAGGTGGCAGTTTGAAAAACAAGCAAAGCTACTTTGGAGAGACTAAACCTTAATTAATTAGAAAGAATTGGAGCTTGGAAGTGTTGGAGAGAAGTTGATTTTCATGTGTTATCACTTATCATGTTCAATTAGCTTGAAATTAGCAAGCATATGTGTCCTCATGTTCAATCACCTCCAAAGTCAATGTGTAATTACTGGTTCAGTTGTTACTGTCACATTAAATTTGTTTCAAAATGTTAAATTACTTTATTCTTTATTTCAAAAGTTATTTAATTTACTCTTCTTTTAGGGCGGGGTTATGCATTCCATAGCTGTACCTGTATATGAAAGCTACTTCAAGTTTTCTAACCTTATCAAAAATAATAACAATCTACCATAGGCCTTGTTAACTAATGATATATGTATATAAGTACAGGAAATATATATTTTTACAATAAAAACTAAAAAATAATAATAACACATGCATTTAAGGGCAGATTTGTAAAACTGCTCAATTGCGAAACTTCAACTTCAAGGACGTAATTTATTTCATCCAATTAATGAACACAACTAATTTGAAAAATATGAAAGGTGAGTGTACAAATCAGGTTATTTCCTTCAACCTCCGGGAAGAGGCCCTCCTTGTTTTATTTGAATCTTGAAGTTGGGGGACCCATGGAAGCCCATATATCAATTATAAAGTATAGTCAACTTAATTCTGGTCATTTGTGGCTGTGGCTGTGCAAATTCGATGAAGTAGATATTGCAACTTCTCAAGATTATATAGGAAACCTCTTGTGTTAGTTTGAGTTGGATAGTTATTTTGATATTCCTATAGTTGTACCTTATTCCGTAAGTAAATTCGTTCCTGCAGCATCAGTATTCACTCATATGTCCCATACACATGACATGAAATTGGGGGAAATTGTACCATACTCATCAGACAAAAGAAATTCAACAAGAAGAATGTACCAAAATCAGAGTAATGGCTGAGTACTAATTAAACAGTATGATCATATGATCTTTATAAGGATCACATCACTGTCTTATTGAAAACATCTCAGTTGCAAATCTAAAAGAAACAAGCGTCAGTGTTAATTTTTTCAGCAGTAACCATTCTCGTCAGTCGACATGTCACAGCACACGTTAATGTTGACTTGCGCAAAGGCACAGACTATGAAATTCTTTGCGGATCAGTTGTGAAGAATCAATGCAGTAAGCGCGCTACAGAACTTGCTATTAATGCAATCTTAGAAACAGAAAGTGCACAAAAGTCGTTAAAAAGTTTTAGAAAGCCTGAGGAACTTGAAGAGGTTAATTTGATGATGCCATTGACAACCTTGGAACATCCCTCAAGGAACGTGATGATTTAGCCCTGAACACTAACATTTCTGCTGCAGAGGATGATTACATAGATTGTACAAATAATTATGAAGAATCTGGTAAAACATGTATCGGTTCAGAATAAATAAGAACAAACCTAAAGGGAGGTAACTACTGAGATCGATTGTGTAGTCCTCTGAAAGTAAATAATCTGAAATAGTTTAATTTTATTCAGTTTTTGTTGTGAATATTTGGCAGGAAGGCGAGTGTTTGTAAAAAGTCTACCCGGGTGGCTGACTGGGAGGCTTCTTCTGCCATTTGGCCCATTCCTGGTACTCCTGCTACAATATTTAGCGAATTAATTAAATTGATTTAACTTTGTGCCCATGATTTGGGCGTCCCACAAGCCACAAAAGGATGTCTTCAAATATATATATATATAACAACAATAATGCTATGGACATCAATACTTTACATCGAAATTTTGCACCAAACGACGTGTCAGCTGAGTTAAACGAGTCACGTAACACATTAACAAATATTTTACGAATGAACGATCGTCCATCAATTATTGAACGATCGTTCATTTTAAATGGACTTTCGTCTATGCGAAAATAACAATAGACCTTTGTCCATATTATATGGACGGGAGTCTATTTACCATGGATGGGCGTCCACCTATAATGGACGCTCGTCCATAGTTTAAATTAAAAAAAAAATTGAAAGCAAAAATCATAGACTCTCATCCATATTCAATAGACGGCCGTCCATACTCAATAGACGGGCATCCACCTAAAATGGACGCCCATCTATAGTTTAAATTAAAAAAAAAAAAAAATTAAAACAAAAGTCATGGAGAGTGAAAGTTTATAACTCGCTTAAAATAAAGTGCAAGGCTTGCATGGATGAAGGAGTTCTTAAAGAAGTTGTTTTTTCTTATCAAAATACAAAGTCTAAAGAGTCTTGTACTGAATCTTCTGATGCTTTACGGTCAAGGAAAAAGAGGAAGATGGAGAAGTCAAAAAATTTAGAGGAACCCAGAAGAGGGAAACCGTTGAAAGCATTGAAGAAATTGAGAGAGGTTCAAAAGAAAAAGAAGCCAGCCCGCGTGCAGGTGATTCCTGGAACTTCAATGTTTAATCTTAGAGTTGTATTGTCTAAGTTGATTGAAAAGAAAGTGGTAACGCCAAGGGAATTCGTGTGTTATAATGGGAATGTGGGTGAAGGGTGGATATGTAGTACAGGGATCAAGTGTAAATGTTGCAATAAGATGCTTACAATTAGTGATTTTAAAGCCCATGTGGGTAGCAAAAAGCATAGGCCTGCTGCTAATATTTTTCTTAAAGATGGGAGGTCTTTGTTGGACTATCAAAAGGAACTGTTGAGAAATAATTAATCGGCAAGTGGTAAAGAGAAGTTGTGTGATGAGATGGCAGATAGTAGTCATCAATGTAATATCCCACTTGAGGTACGTACTTAAGATTTGCTGTATTAGTTAAAAGTTTACTGTTTCAGCTTCAATTGAGTTTGTTTGTTGTCATGGTTAGTTGGTATGTTGAGTTGATTGAATGGTTGCCTTGAAATTGGTTGAGTTTTGGTGAAGTTTGGAAATCCAATCTTCGCCGGGGCGAAGAAGAAGCTTCGCCGCGGCGAGGAGGAGTTGCATCCACGGGTAGGTTCTACCCTGTCTCGCCAGGGCGACGGAAAGTGCTTCGCCGCGGCGACGAGCCTAATAAAAAGTTTCTTGAGTTTTCTAGAGAATTCTTCCTTTGGGGTACAATGACCATTCTACCCCTAATTAGTAGGAAAAGTGGGGAGTAAAATGAAAGAAAATTTAGTAGAGATTGTGTTTGGATGGGGGTGTATTTGAAAAAAATCAAAGGATATAGATGGAATTTCTAAGGAAGGGCAAGGGCAAAATGGGAAATGATGCTTATAATATGAGCTAAAAAGAGTT